GCGAAACACATTTCGAACCGAACACTGATTTTGGTAATAAAATTCAATGATTTGCAAGCGTTGCTTGTTAGTAAGTCTATTCATGATGAAATGTCAAAGCATACTGAGCATCTTTCTTTTTGACACCATGTCTGAAATCCCACGTGATCTGTCAAATACTAATGCATGAAAATCCTAACCTCAAAAAAATCACACGTTACATACATATGCACATATCGATGGCTGAGGGGAAGATCACCCTATCTCGGCTGTGTTTTCGAATTTTGTGAATTTTCGCTTTAAACTACAACTTAAAAGCCTTGCTACACATATTTTCTGTTGAATAATTAAGTTGACTTAAGGTGGAATAAGATTTTGTTTTTACTTTTACAATTTATATTGCTTGTGTTTTTCCTCCCAAGGATCATTTTATTTCGTTAGTAGCTTAATGACACATTCATATATGTATGTACATAAATACAATATGTTGGGTGCAACAATAAAACACAATGCACATTAAAGATGTTGGCGCGCGTCATTTATTACTATGGTTACATTTTAATAAGGGAATAAATTGTAAACAATTTGTCCTTTATGTACACAAAGTGCAAGACTATAGAAATGCTGTACGTTTGTATTAGGGTGATTGACTTAATTTTTCCGGATCGGGTTTAGCCGCTTTTTTCGAATGGCGAATAAACCGAAGTTTTGGGTTTTCATCTAGAATATTTATACGACTACATTTTAAAATTCTCTATAAATTCATTAAATTTTTTTTTTTATTATCTTTTTTTTTGTCAGTTTTTTCTGTCAATTTTCATATTAACTTATAATAAAAAATAATTGTTCACTTAAATTGCTTTCGTGAAATTGGCTATTAGTGCTTTTGATTGAGCGTTCTTCAAACAAAATTTTAAAAAGCTACTCAAATTGCATACAGCTGAAAGTAATTTTTCATAAAAACACATTTTCTGAGGCACTTTAGCTAAACAAATTTAGTTATATTTATTCTTCTACATATGATTCCAGAAGATTAAGGAAAAAACCAGTTGATGCTAAAAATTTCACAATTTTTTTACTATTAATCCAAATAACTTTGAACTTATCCATTTAAATATCTTTTAAATGAAAGCCACACCTACTTTTATTAGCTTTGCTCAATTTTTGGATATCATTTCTAACTAACTGTAAGCATTGTTCAAACGCGAAGTATCAAAACATATATCCCATCCAGCCGGTTTTTTCTGAATTTAAAAATTAGGAACCGGTTTTATCAAATTACCTTTTTTCGAATAGCTCGGAGCCTGGTTTTGGAAAAATGTCGAATAATCGTACACCCTAGGCATGAGAGAAAATGAGATTGTATATAATGAAGGGACGTGCATGGAATTGTGTTGAGCATTATGGACACGTATGTATATAAGTAGGTATGTATGCACTATGGCCTCTTTTATGCGCTCATATATTCATATGTATATAAGTATGTAGTATATATATATGTATTATGTACATTAGACTGCATCACCAAAAAAAGTTGCGGGTTTTCCGCCAGGATTACAAAATCTATTATATTTTAAGAGGTCCACCAAAATATTTCGCAAAAATATTAAGATTTAAGTGAGCTGGACCGATTTGAAAATACCTCCAAAAATGAAGTTTTTTATGAATAAAAATAGTTTCTTAAAGAACTTTTTGAAAAAAGTCCCCTCAGATGACGAAACAGATTAAACTTAAAAAATCTGCATACAAATATTTAAAAATCTTTTCAGCGGAATCATAAGAATGAGATTTTTGGTGCTGTTTTTTTACTTTTTTCAAAGATTGATTTACGAAAAACTTGAATAACTGGGCCTAACCTATTCTGATTTAGACTTGTGGGATCTCAGTGGAAAGGTATTTTCACACTGTTTTTATTTCTGTGCGAAAAAAAGTCATTTGGTTCCCAGTTTTTTTTTT